GAAGAGACATTACCTGGGTCAACCAATTGGTCATGCGTCAACAATTGAGTGGACCTGTTTTTCCTTGAGTACACTTTTGTCACTAGTAGAGGAGAAGATGGGTCATGAGTGGTGGATTTAGTAGGTGTAGGAATGGGATGGTCTGGTGGTGGATTTGATTGAGGTTCAGGTGATGTTGAAGACTGTTGGGAAGTAGGTGAGGTTGCTGACACATCTAAGGAAGGTGATGGATGATCATGTGGTGGTGGTGGTGGTGATGGGATGCCTGGTGATAAAGGCTTAGGAGGGTAGGAGATTGTATGTGGTGGAGAAGATGTAATAGTATAGGTGGGCAGAGGTGAAGGATGTGGAGTATCTTGGGATACAGGGAGAGAAGTAGGAGTGTAAAAAGGTGTGTCTTCGTGAAAGGTCACATCTGCACTAGCGTATGTCTTTCTGGTTGTAGGATTATAGCACTTATATTCTTTCTGAGTTGGAGAATAACCAAGAAAGATACACTTAATAGATCGTGGGTCCAATTTTCCCCTATGAGGTGGAGGAATATGAACAAATGCACTACACCCAAACACCCTTAGATCAAGATCAGAAGAAATTCTGGTTTGACGAAAGAAGTGATGGAGAGATTCAAGAGGTGACTTATTTTGGAGTACCCGACTGGGAATTTTATTGATGAGATGACATGTTGTGAGTGTGGCTTCCCCCCAATAGTGTTTAGGCATATTTGATTGAAACAATAAAGCCCGACTGACTTCTAGGAGATGGCGATTTTTTCTTTCTGTTGTGCCATTCTGTTGTGGTGTGTACGGACAAGAGGACTCATGAACAATGCCTTTTGAGAGGAAATAAGAGGAAGCAGTTTGATTGAAGTATTCAAGAGCATTATCAGTGCGGAAGCGTGTTATAGTGGCGGAGAACTGATTATGAATCATACTGCAAAAGATAGGAATGATGGAACTCACCTCACTCTTGTTTTTTAGCAGAAAAACCCACATAAAACGTGTACAATCATCAATAAAGCCCGACTGACTTCTAGGAGATGGCGATTTTTTCTTTCTGCTGTGCCATTCTGTTGTGGTGTGTACGGACAAGAGGACTCATGAACAATGCCTTTTGAGAGGAAATAAGAGGAAGCAGTTTGATTGAAGTATTCAAGAGCATTATCAGTGCGGAAGCGTGTTATAGTGGCGGAGAACTGATTATGAATCATACTGCAAAAGATAGGAATGATGGAACTCACCTCACTCTTGTTTTTTAGCAGAAAAACCCACATAAAACGTGTACAATCATCAATAAATGTAACATAACACTGGGCACCAGATATATTAGCAATTGGAGCAGGGCCCCAGACATCACTATGTATAATATCAAAAGGAGAACAACTGATTGTATTACTTCTAGAAAAAGATACACGAGACTGTTTAGCAAGTTCACAAACATCACATTGAAATGTAGAAACATCAATACTACTAAAAAGACTAGGAAGCATGATTTTTAGGACATGAAAAGAGGGATGACCAAGGCGCTTATGGTGAAGCCAAATAGTGTTGGTATTGGTTGTGATTGTGGTAAGAGCTTTTTGTGGAGGTTTGGAGACAAACAGTGCATCAAGGTAGTACAGGCCATCTCTTTGTTTAGCAATTCCAATCGTCCTCCCCGTGTGGAGATCCTGTAATGAACAGTGGGAAGGGAAAAAAATGGCAGCACAATTAAGATCTGAGTTTGTAAATAGAAGCAAGGTTCATAGCCAGGTTTGGGACATGTAGGGTGTTTTTCAGATTTAATTTTACAGAAAAAACAACCGTACCAAGTCCCGCAACCTTTGTAGGTGTCCCATCAGCAGTAGTAATGTGTGTGGATGTAAAACATGGATGATAATTAGAGAGTAAAGAGGGTATGGCAGTCATGAGATGTGGTACCTGAGTCTAATATCCATTGGGATTGTGAACTCTGTTCCGAAGCATTAAGACAAAAAATAGTAGAGGTTTTACCTTGCAGGGCCAAAGAGCTATGACCGGAACCATTTGGCACGTCCAGCACTAGTTCTACGTCTGTCCTGGCTTTTTCTTTCTTTCTGTAGATGAGGATAAAGTTTCCAGCATGTATCCACATTATGGTTGGACCGCTTGCAATGATCACACCATCTTCCTCCCTTACTACCCTTAGTTTCCTTAACATCTGAAGGAATAGATTTGACAGCAAGAGTTGTACTGCCAATCAAATTTGTATTCATCATTATATTGCGTCTACTGGCAATGGCAGAAGATATGGAAGGCAGAGGAATAATGCCAAGAATTTGACCCCGAATCTGATCATATTCGGGATTTAAACCAGGCAAGAAGCAATATAGACGTTGCTGATTTATATAGTTCTTGTGAAGAGCTGCATCTGCAGCATTCAACCACTTCATCGTTTGATACTGGTCAAGTTCAGACCATCGTTGTTGGAGGTCAGTTGCATAATCTGTGACAGATTGTGAACCTTGCTTAAGATTCGTTGTTTTGAGCCATAAGTCATAGACAAAAGCGCCATCTTTAGCAACAGAGTAGGACTGCTGTATGAAATCCCATATTTCTTTAGTCGAGTCCATGTATAAACATGTACCGCTAATGTTGGGATACATAGAGTTCCATAACCAGACCCGTATGTTGGCATTAGTTTTCTCCCAAATAGCAGCATCAATCTCTCCTTCTTCTGGAGTAGAGACAGTGAGATAGTCTTCAAGATCTTTGCCACGTAGGAGAGTGTAAACCAGCTTTGACCATCCAAGATAGTTCCTGCCATTGAGACGGTAAGATGGCGGGATAGGAGGGAGATCAAATTTCTGGTTTCGAAGAGCAAACACGGCTACAGTAGCAGCTGAAACAATGGTTGAGTGATCAAGGTTATTTGATTCAGTTTCCTTAGACATGATAAAACCGTTGGTGAAGAGATGGGCACCACACGATTAAACAGAGAGGCAGGGAGAGACACCCTAGTAAACTGTTCGAAAGATGATTAACAGTGAAGTGGCTGATACGAGATCAAGCTCTGATACCATGAATTTTTCTGAATATTATTTCCATGAATTCATTTACAAAAAGTACAGAAGCTACTTATACAGATAGGAATCCTGAGAGTGTCTATTCAGTACCCTAGGTGACTGTCTAAATATTAAACATAAATGATTGAGAACTGAAAAGACAGCAGCTATTAAATACAACCTGAAGCACTAAAGACACATAATTACAGTAATAATAAGGAAAATAAATCCTAGATTAATGATGTCTCTTCGTTTTATCAACATCTACTAATAAAAGGCCCAAACCAAAACATAACATTAACTTAATAATAATAAATAAACTATAAAGACAACCCATAACCGGCCCACGGAAGTGGGCCCAAGCCCGGTCCCGCCCCATGCTCTTCCCGCTACCTATAAGCGACATTCCGCTCTCCACACGCCATTTCTAAAGAAAAGCAAATCTTCTGCCTCACGCCAATACGCAATACATTGATGCCTTTCTATGATTATAAAACTTCGCTTCAAAAGATGCAAGTAGCACAACTGAAACTACATACGGGGTATTTCTTCATGCTTTCTTCTCTTAGCAACTTCATCAACTTCAGAATGGAAAACAAAGCTTGGAAATGTTGTCGCTATATCCCTTAAATATGGAAGTGTCATTATTTTAAGCAATGAAGGGCTTTTTGCGACAAAGGAGTGCCATTCACACTTATCGATCTTCCCATCCTGATTTGTATCCGCCTCCAAGAATGTCTTATCCAGTATTATCTCAACAGTCTCATCAGCCAACTTCATATCAGACTTGCACAGAAGTGCAACCAACATTTGTTTAACCTCTTGGCGCTCAATGAACCCTGTGCCATCCAAATCATAAAGCCTATATGAAAAGTTGATCTTATCCTCTTGTGGGGCATTTGGGTGGAAAACGTTAAGCCCTCTAACAAAATCACCAAAATCAATGACTCATTTTTGCTTCACATCAAAAAGGTCAAAAATCCGATTAGCAAAAAGGTTCTCTTTCTTCCTGTTCTTAAATAAAGCCCAACTGAAACTCTTCCTTGCTTATTAGCCCATCATCGATCACTGAACTGCTGATACTCTTGAACACCTCAAATAAGGCTTCCACTTTGCTAACATTAAAAGCTGTTTGAGAAGGAAGAACTACAGGATTTTCGTGTCCAGCAAACTGCTTTGTTGCTGTAGGCTGAAAACAGCCCATCTAATGGAATGTGATGGAGCAAGCACAGAAGCTGTCTGGATGGCCGCCTAATGGCTAATGCCTAGGCCTTTTCGCTACAATATATCATCAAAAATGTGGAGAGAGAGAGGGAGTTTTGGAGAGGTTTATGGAGCCTCGGAAGCCGGTCTGTCACAATTTCATCTTTCTAGTTATTTTTCATATTTTATGCACTATGGTTTGATTTATTATAAGTAATACTAGTATAAATTTCACCACTTGTAATTTTTTTGATTGTATAATAGAAATATGGTTTTGTATAAAAAATTAAGCAATACGAGTTTTCCAACTTAAAGTTCGAAAAAATGAAAAAAAAAAGAATTAGAAATAAGATTTTCTTCTTCAATATTTATTAATTAATCCATTGAAAGTGTAATTATGAGAAAACCTGAAGTTTGAGCATTTTTTTATAAAAGTTAAAGAATAGGATAAATTTGTAAATTTGATGATAAATTAAGTTACATAAATGTAGATGAAAAATTGTGAAGATAAATCAGAGAGACTGCAGTGAGAGAGGTTGTGTAGTAGGTTTGGTCTTTTTGTACTCAAATGATTTTTACTCCTTTAGTTCTACTTTTGTGCAAAAATGCAGCACCGTTGCACTTCAACATCCTGGAAAGGAATTTCAGCCCTTGTGAAATACAAAAATACCAAATATGACAATGTGACAAGCTATTCTCATAATTGAGAACTTCCATGTAGATTAGTCATCAGTTAAGTTAAGTGTGATACAGAAGACTAATTGTTATGCCAATATACCTAAGTAGCCAGGAAGCCGAGCAAGATAAAATGAGGCCCCGCCATCAGGATGGAACCCCATTTGAGTTTCTGGACTAGAAAAAACCTGCAGATTTGTCAACAGCTTCAAGATTATCAATTTTTATCTTGGTTTCTTTCTTTATCTTTTTCTTTTTGGTATAAGTGCAATCATTATGAAATTGCGCTTTGATTTAGTGTATCAATTTATTTCTACTCAGTTGGGAGAATCTCTTCTCCCATCTTGAGCATGTTCACTACAACAACAACACATCCAAGCCTTAGTCCCAAATGAATTTGGGGTCAGCTAACACGAATAAATCGATCTTGAGCATGTTTACTAAATTTCAAAATCAATTTATTCTGAAGAACAATGGCATGAGTTAACATACCAATGCTCCATATAGTATAGCGAGTACGGCTAAATAACTAAATGACAGCGTCATGAATTCATTTAGCATAATACATACTACATACGTCCCAAGAAAATGAAAATCAAGGGATTTAGAGAAATAAATAGTAAACTGAAGAATTGGTGGGTTTAAGAAAAGAACTATGGGTGCCACCAACAAGTAAGCAAGAAAGTTAAGGACATGGCCAAGCATATAAACCTGTTTTAGTTTAAAATTTTCGATAACCAAAGTATATTTATTCAATGGCCTCCAATCATGGTCAATCCAAACAAAGCTGATATCATTGTACAGATCCAGGAAATAGTTTCTTACAGTTCGATCAGTTGCAACGCAGAACATTCCAGGAAGGGCAATAGCCGCCCCACTTCCCATTGTAATACCATCTAAAATTGCAATCTGTACATATGAGATCCACTTGACATTTAAATACCCAACTAATAGAACTATAAAGGCATGAGCAATATGATGATAACAAATACAAGTTATTTTTTAACAAATCTTTTAGCTACGAAGTTGTAAATTCTTATAGAACTTACATGTGGTTTCAGATATGTTCCTAAAAGGTAGATAAAATTATATAGTGTCTGGAAGAAAATTTTGCATTCTTCAAGTTTCCCTGCAAAGAGAAATCGGTGTTACATATTGGGAAGAAAAAAACATTCGTGGTGCCTCAATTTTTTCTGCTTTAGTCCCCCATTGTCAAGGCAGGAAAAATACTATTGCCTTCAAGTATTTATACATCTTACAATTTGAACCATTCCAGTGACAGACCCAGTTAACTTACCCAAGTGACTAGTAATGCATACATGTGTTTTACACTAGTACGATGAAAAATATTTATGCCATTTCAGCAGCTTATTAACAATGAATTCAACCAACTAATAACTTAGTCCACCCTTAACAAAAATTGAAATGGTTGGGGCTAGGATTTGCTCATTGATGAAAATGAAGGACTAGAAAGACAAGAAAAATCATTGAAGGACTAAAAATGATTTCTCGTTTTACATCTCTAGAGTCATAGAACAAAGAGCCATGCGAGACATAGGAAGATGTGATTTAGAATTCCACTATTTTACAATGTTTATCCAGAACATAATACAGTTGAAAAAGTAGCTGCATCTGATTATATCTACATTGTGTGCATCATAAAATATTGAAATGTGAAGGGACGGGGGGCATATCTTATGTGGAGCTTATAAAAGATGCACATATAACCACAAACTAGAACTAGAGATAAATGGGATACAAATCTGCGGGGTTATGTATGCTTCAAGTACATTTTATCAAAATTGTTAAGTGCTCTTAAATAAAAGCCTCCTACTATAGGCGATATCAGAAAATGAGAAAAGAGATTAGCATAGCATCAAAACTTGAAGATTCTTAAACAACTTCAGAAGCAAAACATGATTAAAAATAAAGTATACAAACAACAAACAACATCTAAGCCTTATTCCCAAAAGATTTTGGGGTCGGGTAACATGAATCGGTCCGTGATTAAAAAATAGAAGTATATTGAAGATAAAAGAGATTGTTCCTTTTACCCTTTTTGTTTTATATACGATGGTATTTTTCTTTTTATCCTCTTTATGTTATCATTTTTTTTCTTTATCTTATCCTTATTATCTTACATTATCTTTTATCTAGCTTATCTTTCTTTTCTTTTTGGTATTGATATCATGTATTGATCATGTTAGCCGAACCCAAAATTTTTTGGGACTAAGGCTTGGATGTTGTTGTTCTAGTATTGAAGATAAAAGAGAAACAGAAGACAGAAGTACAGAGCATAAGTAACTATGATCATAAACATAAACCAGCTATCAAGACCTTCATTAATCAACTGATGAAGCATAACAACATCAGCTCCAGAACAAAAAGCACGATTACTTCCCTGTGCCAAATTTAAGTAGAAACATAAGATCGTTGTCAGCTTACCCATTCAACACCATACAGTAACATTTAAATCCAAACACTAATGTTATGCTATCCAGTAAGCGAGTACTGCCGAGTACTCACTACTCGGGCAGTTAGTCACTTGGTCTACCTACTCAGTTCGATTTGAAAAACCATGTTATTTGAAGAGTACTCAGCGACTTTGGCGATTCCACGAGTCTGATTACTAGCGAGTAACTCGGTTTCAATTTAATGTGAAAACTTCAAAATAAATTTGTGCCGGTGCGAGATTAAAAAATTGAGCACTTCAATTTCATAAACCATATTTTAAGGTTTTAAATATTAATAATTTGTAAAACTATAAATTCTCACACAATAACTACTTTAGGGCTTTAGGCGTGCATGAAGAAGGAGATAATGTTGATCTTAAACCAAATAATGATTAATTAGGATATACTCGTAATAAGTTATGAATCATTAGATGATTGGGTCTTTTGTAAATGTTTTAAGAACTATGCTAGTTATCGTGGATTGATGTTTTTTTAAATATATGACTAATATTATTAGAACATTGTATCAAATGTTTATAAAATTTTATGAATAGACAGGGCACCAAGTAAGGGTCCTAATCAATACTAGACCTTTGACAGAATACCTATAAGAAAATGCCCTAAGTAGGACTAACAATGTAATTTTCCCAAATAGGAGTTACATCATTTTCTTCCCGAATAGGACTCCCAAATAAGACTCATGCACTCCTATTTAGGGAAGCTTTTATTATTTTATTCTTTAATAGGACTAAATAAGTCCTGTTTTAGGAAGAAAATCTATGTAGTCCTATTTTAGAACTTTGTGTATGTTTTGGTCGTACTGTAAGCAATTTTTAAATACACCTATTGAGTAACAATTAACTTCTTAATGATACCTTCATCAGAACAAATCCAATTTCAGAGTTCTCCTCCCATGAGTTGTATAATCTATTTAAGCGAGGAACCTTCATCCAAGTAAAAAGACCATTTTAGACGTTCAGATTCATTGGCAATGTAACAATACTGCACCTGTGCAGCAACAGAAACAGAGAGATTGCATATCAAACCATAGAGCTAGTGAGAGAATTGAGTGCAGATGGTCTATTGAGTATAGCTGCTCTTGATTTCGATCTCCCTTCAACTAAAACCTAAGAAGATAACAAAAACAAAAGTGCCACCATGTCACTGTCAGCATTTAAATGCATATGTGCGGTTTTTCCCCCACACAAAAAAAATGAAGAAGTTTATTTTCTTTTTAACGGTCATAAAAATGAAAGTGTAATGCCGTATAGAGAGGACCTGCTCTTGAAGATCATCTAGCTGGGTATAGTTGGGAAGAGCAGAAATGCTCCTACTTTGGCGATGAAAGAGAAATACTTGGCTTTGCTTAGAACAGCGACCAAGTATTTGCAGAATTCTAGATCCAGGCATTCTATATATCTCTGTTGTGCGGATGACGAGTTGCTGCCCTTGCGGCTACCGTGTATCTCCACTCTACGGGTGTCACCAAAATGGATTCCAGAAGGTGTCACCAAAATGGATTCCTAAGATTTTAACAGATTTTAAAGTGTTTAGAATTTCCTCCTAATTTAGGGGCCCTTTTACTAATAGCAGGGTTGGTGCCTTACTAACACATATTTTCTTGATTTTTTGAAAATTGGAAAAAGAAAAACAGAAAACGTGTTTAACAATTAAAATTACTGAAAAATTAGAGAAGAAAACATAAAATTGTATTTACCTAATCATTTTCAAAAACGAAAAAATGAGATATGTCTCTCTTTTCCTTAATGAATTGAAGAGGTGAATTTTACTTGTTTTCCAAATTTGAAAAACCCGGATATTATAGTGTTGCTGCAATGGATTTGCATACTTACACCTAGTGGTGCATCCGGTCCCGCTCCGGTGTCAGTTCCAGTCCGGTCAACGATCCTACGGTCCCTATCTAGTCCGGTCAACGACCCGGTGGTCTGATTCGGTCATTGACTCGGTGATCCCTGTTCGGTCCGGTCAACGGACGAGCAATCCCAATTTGATCCGGTCGACGACCCGACAGTCCCGGTCCGGTCTGGTCGACGATTCGGCAGTCTCTGTCTGGTCCGGTCCACGACCCGACGATCCATGTCCAGTCTAATCCATGACCCAACTGTCTGGTCCAATACACGACTAAACGGTCCCGGGTCAGTCCCATCAATGACCTGGTGATCCCTGTCCGGGGCGGTGATGGATCACCGACCTAGGGGTAGCCGGAATCCGAGTAAAGTAAGAGAGAAGAGTTGATCGAAAAGTTCAGGTAAATATTTTAGCAGAGTGCCAGCAAGAGAATACATAAATCGATTCCTTTCCACAAGTTAGAAGGTGATATTTATACTAAAAAGGCAATACTTGGTGCCCAAGTAAAAAGATGATGAACTAATAGGGAAGGGACATGTGTCCAATTTGTTCTAACAAACTAACAGTCTAAGTCGATAGGGTGCAGCCACGTGTAAAGGTGATTGGAGAGATAGCTCAGGACAGCTGGCTGATTGGAACTGCCCCTAACAAACTGCTACCCGGATGTTCGTGAGGCTACACGTGTATAATCTGGAATATTCTCCCTGCCCGTTGCTAGGAGTGACGTGACCTCCTTTGGAGGCAGTGATGATGTGGCAGTATTCTTCTCTGATGTCTGTTTTCACATATATTTGTCTAAGTCCACAATGCTTCAATCAGACCTCGAGCTCACTGAGGTCAGTACTTGGGCGCTCAGGCTCATCGCTGGGAGATGTGTCTGTTGCCTCCGATTCTATCTTTGAGGTTGTTGACTCCTTCGCTTGACTCTGATTGACTTTGTGCTAATGCTCAGGGTCAGAGTTGGTACCGAGCTCGGTGCATTCAAGGTCGGTCTCATAACTCATCGTGTTTGAGCGGTTCCCGAGCTTGGTATTTTTTTGACCTCGGGGGGGCGAGGTCGGGGTCGGTTGGCCTTTGGTCCTTAGTTGTTTCGTTGTCTGGCACTTTGTCCCGACCTTGGTGGGTCGGGGTCAGGGTCGGTCCCAGTTGTGGACATAACATTTTCATGCACTCTGGGATGGGTCGGCGACGTGAATGCCGACGATTATGATACCCCTGGGGTATATGTGAATATACTCCATCATGAGTCCCCCACTCTCCGAAACGAAAGTAACACTTGAGGTGAGAGAGAGTAATTCTTCAATCTTCTGGGCTAGCACGCCCGACGGGGGTACTGCTCTCCATGGTCATGACAAAGGGGTACCTCATTAAAAACTATGCTGAGGAAAAACCCTGTGAGAAAAAATCCTAACGGGGTAAAAAGAGTATACTCCGTTATTCTGAGCTCTTTGTAGCAATGACGTCTTATTTTTTGATTTGTTCCCGAGTCCCCCACTTACCAGTCCCCCACTCTTGTGGACCTAGAAATTTTTGTTAGTGTAGAAGAGTATGAGCTTGAGGTGAACGAGGTAATTGTCTTTAGTACTTAGTGGACTTAGGAGAATTTTGTGGCGTGTAGTAACGCTGATGTGTACAAATAGGAATCTTTACACATTCCTTTTGCAACATATTTGTTTAATAACCATTTTTCCGCTTTTAATGCAAGACAAGGCGTTTGTAGTGATTATATGGCGCCATCATTGCGCTTTTTGCACGCCTTTTTGGAGAAAACCTTTCAGTTTTTTGTGTGGTTAGTTTATAGTGCGCCACGTGTAAGCTTCCCATTCGATTTGAGGGGAAGTATAAAAGGCGAAAGCCTTCGTCTTTCTCCTTTGCGCTTTCTTTGCATTCGAGTTTTCAGAGTTTTCAAGCAATCTCAGAGCTTTTCATCTCCGTCTAGTGCTTTCTGCTTCCAGTTTTCTCCGTCAACTTTCTATACCAGGTTAGTCTCCAAGCTCTGCTTTTTGTACTTTGTCTGTTGCAGGTTTGTCGGAAAACACAGAATGAGGGTTTTCCCGCCAAACTGGTGTTACGAGCATTGGGGGTTTATAGTCCCCCATTTGCGTCAGAGGCTGGTACCTCTGGACTCGGAATCACACACTGATGTCGATTCGAGTGTTTGATTTTTGTTTGGGGTCAGATTTTTGTTCCTTAACCCCGGATTTGACTTTCTGCATGTTTGCGTTTTTGTAGATTTGAAAATGTCTTATCGCAGTGCTTCTGCTGACACCGGAGACAGGGCCAACAATGACCTACCCCTTGGGTATGATGATGTTGTTGCTGTGAGGGAGGCCGGTTTGAATGAGGACATTGCTGATGTGTCCTCCGCCCTCGAGGTTGCACCCTTGAATGTGCAGCAAGGGCGCAAGGGGGCTGGCAAGAAGGGGTACAAGGATACCCATGAGTACTTCGTGTTGGATAGCTTTACCGAGTCCAAGGTACCTTGTTCCCTGTCAGATAGGGAGTGGGAAGAGGCCAGGCGTCTGTGTGTGCCTTCTATGGTCGTTATGAGGCCAGATGCCGGGGATTTGCCCTCTTCATGCCCCTCAGGCTTCTTTGTAGTTTACTATGACGCCGTTAAGCATGGCTTCCGGTTTCCCCTACACCCCTTTTATGCTGAATATCTGAACTGGGTTGAGTTGCTGCCTTGTCAACTTACCCCCAACGGCTTTTATTACACAGTCGCGTTCCTGATGTGTTGCGTTCATCTGAAAGTCACCCCTAGTGTGGAATTATTCCGATTCCTCATGAACATTGGTCGCAACCCCTCTAAGGGGAATCGAGCTATGCCTCGATAGCTCAGGTTTGTGGGCGGAGTGCGTTCGTCAATGCCCCGACCTCGTATCGCAGATGAAAGGGCGGATTCTTTTTTGTGTGCACAGACCGCCAGGTGGTGTCCCCGTTTTCTACAGAGACCACCGTACTGGCCCAAGGGTCAGTGTTTGCCTGGAAGCATGGTGCCGATGATTTGGGTGAACATTTCTATGTTGTGGAGAAGTATTTGAAGCCCGGTCAGTATGATATCGGGAAATTTGTGACCGAAAAGAGGATCAGGGAGGATCTGAAGTGCACTAGCTTTTTAATACCCCTTGCCGTGCTGGGTGATGTGGAGGTGGCAGCTGTTGCTGCACCCTTTGTAAATGACGGGGAGGGAGAAAACGTAGTCCGGAGTCCTGCTACTCCTGCTATTGAGGGCTCTGTGCCTGGTTTTAGTGTTGTTTCCCCCCAGACTCCGAGGAGGGGGAGGAGAAGGAAGTTGCTTCCCATAAGGAGGATGAGCAAGAGGATGTCACCTCTCTCAATGAAAGCACCAAAATGATGGATCACCAACCTAGGGGTAGCAAGAATTCGAGTAAATTAAGAGAGAAGAGCTGATCTGAAAGTTCAAGTAAATATTTTAGCAGAATGACAGCAAGAGAATACAGAAATCGATCCCTTTCCACAAGTTGGAAGGTGATATTTATACTAAAAAGGCAATATTTGGTGCCCAAGTAAAAAGATGTTGATCTAATAGGAAAGGGACACATGTCCAATATGTTCTAACAAACTAACAGTCTAAATCGATAGGGTACAGCCACGTGTAAAGGTGATTGGAGAGATAGCCTTGGACAGCTGGCTGATTGGAACTGCCCCTAACAAAGTGCTACCCCAATGTTCGTGAGCCTACACATGTATAATCTGGAATATTTTCCCTGCCCACTACTAGGAGTGGTGTGGCCTCCTTTGGAGGCAATGATGATGTGGCCGTATTCTTCTCTGGTGTCTGTTTTCACATATATTTGTCTAAGTCCACAATGTTTCAATCAGACCTCGAGCTCACTGAGGTCAGTACTTGGGCGCTCATACCATCGCCAGGAGATGTGTCTGTTGCCCCCGATTCCATCTTTCAGATTGTTGACTCCTTCGTTTGACTGTGATTGACTTTGTGCTAATGCCCGGGGTCAGAGTCGGTACCGAGCTCAGTGCATTCGAGGTCGGGCTCATAACTCACCGTGTTTGAGCGGTTCCCGGGCTTGGTATTTTCCCGACCTCGGGGGGCCGAGGTCGGGGTCGGCTGGCCTTCGGTCCTTAGGTGTTTCATGTCCACATCAACCAACAGAGACACAGCAATTAAGGACAAAATCAAAATATTGGCTAAGTTGGACATCAATAGGCAGAAACTCCAACAGAAACTTACTCAGAAGGATTCCATCACTAGTTCTGAGGATGAACCCCTGGTGAAGAAGGTTGTGATAAAGGTCACAACAAAGAAGCCAGTACCTGTACCAGCCAAGAAAGGAATGAAGAAGAAGGCTGGTTCAAAGAGGAAGAAACCCTCTTCTGTCTCTGAAGACTCTACCCCTTCTGCTTCTCCAATTACTAAGAAACAGAAGATATTGACACCAGCCATCCAAGTCTCTGAGAAAGCCCCGGAAAGTCAGGGGGAACTTGAAGATTCTCTACCATCGGGGCAACCCAAAAAACCTATTTGGCAAGGCAAGAAGATTATTTTCGATTCCGGTGATTCTGACGAGGAGACAGAAGTGGAGAATGCCACTGTTCAGGAGGGAACTCAATAGTCCTCCTTCTGTTGAGAAGCCATACCAACT